GGAGGGATGGGGAGAGAAACATCAACTTTGTTCCACTTATTTAAGCATTCATTGGTTGCTTCTGACTGGAGATGGAGCCTGCAACCTTGGTGTATAGGAACGACACTAACCAACTGAGCTACCCGACAAGGGTGTTAATGTTACATTTCTCAAAATACTATCCTATTGTTGTCCCTAGGTTGCCAAAATGGTTCTGCCAACATGGCCTTAAATATTAAGTACTACTAAATGTTCAAATTGCAGGAGGTGAGTCTGAAAGTAGAGGGCTCAGCATGTGGATTTGAACAGGAGAGCTTGAGAAAATGGTAGAGAAATTGGGGGTAGTATGTGAAGCTGATGCACAGGTACTTCCGATGTGTCTTTGGAACATGCATGAGGGATTAAACTTTTCTATGTGGAAACTACCACTGAGGTTGTTAGGCAGAACTACTGAAGATACGATCTTTGCCATCAAAGAGCTTCTGTATACTACAATGGATGCCAATAAGAGATGGGTGATCACAATAGTATGAAGATACATTAATTGTAATGAGAGGGCTCTGGGAACATCAAAGGGAAAGGAAGAAACACATAATGAAGCAGAAGGATCAGTAAACCACTTATTGAGTACTTACTGGTTATTGGCACATCAAATACAAAAGAATCAGGATGAGGGCAGGTAAGAACTTAAGGAATTAAATATATACATTAATTTTACCACTAATTCTAATTACCAGGGAAGTACGAAACATGTATAAGTTATATTTTATAATGTAATTTGATGCCTGTCAAAAGGACAAGCTATATATACAATGTAATTTTAAAAAGTTTAATTACCCTAAAATGGGTTGATAAAATGCCTATACAGCACTCATGTTTATTATGTACATATATTTCACATTAACTATTGCTTGAAAAGCACAAGTACTTTGACCCCCTTGCTGAGAAATCGATGGTATGTATGCAGTTCTAAGAAGCATTTGCAGTCCACGTCTTTTACACTCCACCTGATTTTCTGTTCAGTTTTCTATCACGTTCTCTTCAGAACTGCTTATATCTCTTTTGTCTGATCATCTTCTTCAAGTTTCCTGATTTCATTTTTTAAACAATTTATAGTTTCACGACTTGCTTTTAATCTCTCCTTAAGCTCTGCAATTTCAAAGCTTGTTTTTTTCTTCGCAGCTTCTAATTTTTCTCTGGTTTTCACCTCAAGTTCTGCAACTAAGAAAAGCATACATTTTTATTGAAATATTTCATTTTTCTTATATGTCTAACATGTCATAGAGTAATATATAAAGCATTTCCCAAGGTCAATGTTTCCATGATGAAATGTGGACAACTTAAGATATATAACATTACACATAGGGGTATGGGTAAGAAAATCTGAACTCCCAAGAGAGGATCCCAGATGTTTTCTGTAGCTAATAATAGTTGAAATTTTATAACATACTATCTTCGTTTTTCTCCACATACATGTTAATTTAGAAATAAGAGGGCATACAATTCAAAAGACATCCAGCTAATAAGAACACTAAATATATAGTGTTCTTACATTTATGTACAGGTAAAACTTACATAAATGAAATCACACTGGTAAAACAAAAAGGAGAGCAGTGTGTGTCTAGGTTTGAATTCCAGCTCTACCATTTATTAGCTGTGCCACTCTGAATAATTTATTATTTCTATCCTCATTTCCTCATTTCTAAAATGGATATTATTTTTTGAGGAGATTTTAAACGAATTCATGTATATAAAGTATCTAGAATATTATCTGGTATATAAAAAGCCCTACTAACTACAAGTATGGGAGAGGAACATTAAATGATACTTAAAACATTCTAGCTGGCTATATAACAAATTACTAAAGAAAATATCACTACTGCAAAACAGAATTCATCTACTTAAATATTCCATTTAGTGTAGCATTGTTTTACAAAGAGAAATGCCTACTTTCACCCAACATCTCCATCTTGTGGACATTTCAGGTAATTGCTGCTGATGACCATTAAAGCACAGTTGTATATATGCTTTAAGTATAGCACAAGACGATCTCCAATTGGAAGCATGGTTTAGTGAAGGAAAAAAAACCCCTTTGAGGCCAGTAGGGCATGGCTCAGCGGTTGAGCGTCGACTTAGGATCCAGGCGATCAGGGTTCGATTCCCGGTCAGTGCACATGTCCGGTTGCAGGCTAGGGCCCCAGTCGGGGGCATGCAGGAGGCAGCAGATCAATGACTCTCATCACTGATGTTTCTCTCTCTCTCTCCCCTTCTCCCTTCCTCTCTCTGAAATCAATAAAGATATATTTAAAAAACAAACAAAAAAAACCCTTTGAAATCAGAAAAACTTTGAGTTAAAATACACCCTTGGGCCCCTATTAGCTGAATGCTGACATCTCTAAGTGTCCCTCAATCTCATCTTTCTGCATGATACAGTTAAAACTGTGTATCTCTCAGAGGATTTATGAGAATTAATCAATACAGGTGGCCCTTTGTATCCACGGTTCTGCATCTGTAGAACAAAAATATTGGGGTAAAAATGTTATAGTGTTGCTAATGTGTACTATGTAGTTAGGCTAGATGACCACATCTGCACTAAACATGTAGAGACTTTTTTTTCTTATTATTCCTTAAACAATACAGTTCAACAACTATTCACATAGCATTTACATTGTATTAGGTATTATAAGTAACCCAGAGATGATTTATAGTGTACAGGAGAATATACACAGGTAATATGCAAACACACCATTTTATACAAGATATTTGGGCATCAGCAGATTATCATATCCTCCGGGGGTCCTAGAAGCAAGCCCCATGGATACCAAGGGAAGACTGTATGTATATGTAAAGCATCTAGCACATTAAAATCATGCAATAATGTTTTCTTATTTTGCACATTGCTGGTGACTTTCTTTTTCTGATACATTTTGTGACACAGGTAAATATTTACACTGCCAAACAATCTGTATTTTTCTACGTAATTTCTTTCATTGCTTTTATTTGTAAAATTATTTTCACCTCTATAAAAAAAAAAGTTTTACCTCACGAAGATGTAAAGTAGGACATACAAAATATAGTTAATAATACTGTAATAACTATGTATGGTGCCAGGTGGGTACTAGAGATATTGAGGGTAATATTTTATATTTATAAAGCATATGATTGTCTTACCTCTATGCTCTACACCTGAAACTAATACAAAATAGTACTGAATGTAAACTATAATTAAAAAATAAAGTTAGCTTGGCCGGGCGTGGCTCAGCGGTTGAGCATCGACCTATGATACAGGAGATACAGGTTCAATTCCCAGTCAAGGCACATGCCTGGGTTGCGGGATTGATCCCCAGTGGGGAGCATGCAGGAGGCAAGCAATTAATGACTCTTATCATTGATGTTTCTACCTCTCTCTTTCCCTCTCCCTTCCTTTCTCTGAAATCAATAAAGATATGTTTAATAAATAAATAAATAAAATTAGCCCTGGCTGGTGTGGCTCAGTTGGTTGGAGAGTAGTCCCAATATGCCAAGGTTGTGGGTTCAGTTCCCCAGTCAGGGCACACACAAGAATCAACCAATGAATGCTTAAGGAAAACAACAAATTGATGTTTCTATCTCTCTCTTCCTTCCTCTCTCTCTCCAAAAATCAATAAAATTTTAAAAAATAAAAATTTTTAAAAGTTTGTACTTTTTGACCCCCTTCACCCATTTTGCCTACCCTATACCCCATGGCAACCACCAATCTGTTTTCTGTATCTAGGAACTTGTTTTTTTTAATCCCTCATATAATGAGATCATACGGTTTTTGTCTTTCCCTGACTTATTTCACTTAACATAATTCCCTCAAGGCCCATCCATGTTGTTACAAATGGCAAAATTTCATTCTTTTTTATGGCTGAATAGTATTCCACTGTGTATATATAGATACCATATCTTCTCTAGCCATTCATCTATCAATGGACACTTAAGGTAGTTTCCATATCTTGGGTACTGTAAATAATGCTTCAATAAACATGCCAGTATATGTATCTCTTTGAATTAGTGTTTTCCTTTTCTTTGGATAAATACCCAGAAGTAGAATTGCTGAAACATATGATAGTTCTAAGTTTTTGAAAAACCTCCATACTGTTTTTCCACAGTGGCTGAAGCAATTTATAATCCCACCAACACTGCATGAGGGTTCCCTTTTTTCCATATCCTTGCCAACACCTGTTAGATGCCTTTTCCCCATTTTTTCCCTTTGTCTTTTTTTTTTATGTTGTTGATGCTTTTTTTGATAACAGCCATTTTTACAGGTGTGAGGTGATATTTCATTGTGGTTTTGATTTGCGTTTCCCTGATGATTAGTGATGTTGAACATCTTTACATGTACCTGTTGATCATCTATATGCCTTCTTTGGGAAAATGTCTACTCAGATTTTCTGCTCATTTTTAAATTAAATTGTTTGCTTTTTTAGCTACTGAATTGTATGAGTTATTTATATATTTTGGATATTAACCGCTTATCAGATACATGATTTGCAGTATATTCTCCCATTCACTAGGTTGCCTTTTCATTTTGTTGATGGTCTCCTTTGCTGTGCAAAAGCTTTTTAGTTATTGGTTACTGCCTTTTCTTATGATGTGTAGAAGCTTTTTATATATTAAAGAAACTAGTCATTTGTGATATGAGTACAATATTTTTTCATGGTTTTCATGATTTATTCCCTTGCTCCCTCCTCACATCAATTAAAAAACATAATGAATGAAAGACACTTTGTTAGGTGCTAGGGTACAGAGGTAGGAGATGGACAAGAAAGAAAAATGCAGTATAATGTCATAAGATAATCATAGGGAGCCATGAAAAGACTGGACTTATACTAAGGGGGGAGGGTATGTGTGTATGAAGGAAAGCGTCACGGCTGTAGTAAAATCTGAACTAAGGTTTACAGAATGAGAAAGGAATTAGGTAGATGAAGTAGACATAGCAGGCCCTGAAAATAGCACATATACATTTGGAAACAACAAGTAGTCCTGTGTGACTGTACGTCTTAAATCTAGTCAGGAAGACCTGATTTAACTCATTTGTCAGAAAGAGCATTCACTATAGACATAGATTCTTTTAGTTACACTTTATCCTTGACAAATCATAAGGCTGCAAAGGGCAGTATATATCTGGAAGAAGACCTAGGTTAACTAGCAATGAGATCCTGGGGGAAACAGTTTAAACTTCCTTTATCTTGTTCTAGTTTTCGGCTTTCTACATGTTAAATGCTTATATTAAAAAATAAAATTTGTTTTAAATTTCCAAATGAAGCCTCAACTTGGAGTAAATCAATCCAAAGAAGAATAATTATTTGTTCAGAGCCAATATAACTCACTGGTTTGAAGCACAGACTGTAAGGCTTTTACACAGAGATAGAACAGCTTATTGTTAAGAGTACGAACTCTGGCTCTGATTTGTGGCTCTAGGGTCTTTACTTACAAAATGGGGCTAATAGTAGTACCTTCCTCCTATGGTTATTATGATATCCAATAAGTTATGTAAAGTGCTTGTCTAGTACACAGTAAGCTCTCATTAAGTGTTCATTTAAAGTATTCCTCCTAAAAGCAATTATTACTATTAAAAGCTACATCATTAGTGTTCAAGTAAATTTCCATGGGTTTACTAGTATAAATATCTTTATAAACTTTTAATATGCTCCATAAAGAGCAAGCTCTATCCTGAATATTACTCTATCTAAAAATTTTACTAAGTTTCTAGAGCCTAAGTTCTGAGGACAGCCTGGGATACAGTCCTGGCTCTACCACTAATTAGCTGGATTTGTGGCAACTTAACCTCCCTATGCATCAGTTTCCTTTTATAAAATAGGTTACCTAATAAAATTATTATAGATTTAAATGTTATACATGTGCAGATTTAGAAGAGTACAAATAGTAAACACTCAATAAATCTGATATCTTATTATTACCAAATATTGCATATAATGCCCTCAAATTGGTAAAAGTGTACATATCTTTTTTAGGCCTTTGATTAACATTACTAAATTGCTTTCCTATGAGGCTAAAGCAATTTATACCCATACAAACAATTTATGAGAATGCAAAGTTCACCACATCCTTACTATTAAAAATTCCTTTTGCTAATTTGATACACATATGGTCACCCATTATTGTTTGGTTTGTATTTCTAAAATTATTAGCAGGGCTAAATATTTTCCCATTTTATTTACTAGTGATATCTTCTTTCATCTGTACGTGTCTTTCGTTCATGTATCAATTGAAGTTTAAAATTTTTTCTATTTTATTTGTCCATTTTAGGGTTTTTAAGATATTAATCTTTTACCATATTTTCTGCAAATTTACTTTTCTTCTTTGCTCTTTTGAAATGCAGAAGTTAAATATTTTTTACAAAATCAGGTTTCCCTTTCTTTAACATCTCAAATTTAAAAATTCTTCCCCAGCCAGAACAGTCATTTCTCTAAATTTTTAAAACACAGATTGACTTAAAAAAAAATTTAATTATTTTTAATTAAACTGGAATTTGTTTTGATAAATGCTATGAAGCAATTATCTAAAATAAGTTTTCCTCTCAAAAGCTTATCAACTGCGCCAGTACCACTTTTGCAATTATCATTTTTTTCCTTAATGATTTGATATTGCTAAGAAAATAAAGTGTATATAATTCAAAACATGCAATGTAGTGGTAAAAACTTCCCAAGGTTATACAGCTCCATACATAAGTGTTAACACATAAAATACATTTATAGAAAAACCTTTTTATAAAACACATTAATTGCTTGTATCTACTTATTATACAAAAATGATTTGTTAATTTGTTTTGTTGAAAACACAAAAATGCGGTCACTTGAATTTTAAGAAAGAAGTTTCCTCTATGAGTTGGGTCCATTTCTTGGTATGGGAGAAAGAAGATCTATGGAGCACAAATGACCAGTAACAAATTAAAATAGCATATTAGGATATTAGGTGCTTTTTTATCTTTTCAAAGTAGTCATATACATATCTGTTTTATGTTCATAACAAAGTAGGCCAGGTAAATATATTTGCAGATGCAGAAAGTAAAGCATAAAAATTTTAAATGAGTATGATTTTAAATTTTAAGTGACTACCAAATGGCAAAATTATAATCAGTATTCAGGTCTTTTAACTTGTAGGCATGGGTTTCATAAAAATACAAACAAAACACTACTATAACCAATAAAGGTTACATAGCAACTCCCTTCCGCCCTGCATTCTCATCCCCCACCGTTCTTTTACTGAATCACATCACTTCTTTTAACCTACAAATATACTAGTTTATTTCCCCCAGTACCACTCTACTCTAAAGACCCCATATCCTGCTTCTGCTACCACTGCAAGTTCCAAGGCAGAGGTGTGCACAGAGCCTGTCTCCAGTTTCTCTCATTTCATTCTCTCTTCATCCACGTCAGCTCCTTACTATCTGTCCTTACTATTCTCCTTCAACTGCTCCTGTTAAGGTCATCAAGGTCCTCTACCTTACTATAGCCCATCTCTTGGCCCTCATCTGTCTTGACGTATCAGCATTATTGGACATGGCTAATGATTATTTCTTGATATACTTTCTGTACTTGGCTTTAGGACATTATAAGCACCTAGTTTTTCTTCCTCCATATTCACTGTTTTTTATTTCCTTTGCTGATCATCTCCTTAAATCTCTAAATATTGCAGTGCTCATGGCCCAGTTCTTGGACTTCTTTTCTGTCTTCACTCACTCTTTTGATGGTACCACTGGGTGTCATAATTTATAAATCCATCTGTTTATTAACTTCCAAATTTTTATCTTCAGCCTAGAACTCTCCTTGAGTTCCAGACTTTTAGGTGCAACTGTCTTCTCAATGTAACCACTTAGATATCTTACAGGCATCCTACATCCAACATGTCCAAGACTGTACTCCTAACTACTCTTTTTTTTTAATCCTCACCTAAGGATATTTTTTTCCATTGCTTTTCAGAGAGAGTGGGAGAGAGAAGCATTGATGTGAGAGACACTGGTTAATTGCCTCCCGAACACGCCCCAACCGGGCTGGGGATTGAACCTGTAATCGAGGTATGTGCCCTTGGCTGGAATCGAACCTAAGACCCTTCAGTCTGCAGGCCAATGCTCTAACCACTGAGCACAACCGGTTCGGGCAGTCCTAACTACTCTTTCCCTAAAACCTGCCCCTTTCACACTTGCCCATCTCTATAAAAAGCAATGACAATTTTTGGGTTCCTCGGACACAAAACCTTAAAAGGAATTCTTTGTTGATCTTCTCTCACATCTTTACAAAAAAATTATTGATTTTACAAAGAGGGAGAGAGAGTGCGTAATATCTAATGGTTGCCTCTTGCATGCGCCCCAACCAGGGATCGAACCCACAACCTGGGTATGTTCCCTGACTAGAAATTGAACCTACCACCTCTCTGTGTACAAGACAATGCTCCAACCAAGCCACACTGGCCCATGCTTCTCTTACATCTTTTTATTCAAACCATCAGCAAATCCTATTGTATCTCTCTTTAAAATAGATCCAGAATCTGACCCCTTCTCAGCACACTACACTGCTATCACTTGTGTACCACCCACCATTCTATTGTATCTAGACTATTGAAACAGCATCTCTCCTCTTTCCTTTTCTGCTTTAAGAGTCTATTACAGACACAGCAGCCAAGGTAATTGATCTTTTTATTTTTATTTTAAATATATTTTTATTGATTTCAGAGAGAGGAAGACAGAGAGAGAGAGAGATAGAAACTTCAATGATAAGAGAGAGTGATTGATTGGCTGCCTCCTGGACGCCCCCTGCCAGGGACTGGGCCCACAACCCAGGCATGTGCCCTCACCGGGAAATGAACAGTGATCTCCTCGATCCTAGGTCGATGCTCAATCACTGAGCCATGCCCGTGGGGCTGACCTTTTTAAAAGCCAGTCTTACACTTTCACTCTTCTGCTCAAACCCCACAAATGACTTGATGCGTTCTTCACTTTAATAAAGTCCTCACAGTTACCCACAAGCCTCTATATGATCTGGTTCCCTATTAACTTCTTTGGCCTCATCTCCCACTCCTTGTCCCCTTGTTCACTAAACTCTAGTCACACTGGCCTCTTTGCTGTTCATCATATATGCCCTGCATACTCTTACCTCAGGGCTTTTGCCCTTGTCGCTCCCTCTACAGATAACATTCTTCTTTAAAAATATGTTTTTACTGATTTTTTTTTTGGATTTTTTTTTTACAAGAGAGGGAAGGAGAGGGAGAGAGAGAAATATCTATTGGCTGCCTCCTGCATGCTCCACACTGGGGATTGAGCCTGCAACCCGGGCACGTGCCCTAACTGGGAATCAAACCCTCGACCTTTTGGTTCATGGGACTATGTTCAACCAACTGAGTCACACCAGCCAGAGCCAGATAACATTCTTATCTCAGACAGTTTCAAGGCTCACTTCTTTACTCCTTTAGGCATTCGCTCAAATGCCACAATCTCAGGAAGCATTCTGTGACCTGGTATTTAAAACTCCAATCATCATTATCTCTTCCCACCAAAAGTGCTCCCTCCCCTGTTTTATTTGTCTCCATGCCACCCATTCACTATCTTACTTTATTGTTTTATTTAAAACCTGTCTTCTTCCCACTAGAATGTAAGCTCCATGAGGACAGGGCTCTTTGCCTGGTTTGGACACCGCTCTATCCTCAGAACTTAGAACAATGCCTGGCATATAAAGGGGAATCACTGCATATTGTAGGCAAATATATAAAAGATCAAAAGAACAAATGAATGAATGGTGACATAAATGTTAACACAGGATGGCAACTAGGTTTCATCTTGAGTGGCAACTGCAAATGGGCATTAGCTGCATGGAGAAGTATGCATGGTATTCTGAGGCCAGTGTCAGCTTAGAGGGAAAATATACCGTGGCTGAGTATCAGTGTGGCATTCTGGTACCCTCCACCTTAGTATTAATCTGAAACTATGTAAAATAACATCGGTTGAGAGAAAAAGAGAAATAAACTAGTTCACAGAAAACAAAAGTATAATTATATTCTGCAAGTTTTTTCACAAAACTAGTAAACAGAAAATGAGTAACAGGTTAAGCAAGATTAATAAAAAGCTGTGCTTAAATGTAATTAGGGAATAAAAGACAAACAGTACTTTTGAGAATGTGAGAGGCTGTCTTTTACCTTTTTGAAAGTTAGCCCTACTTTAGAAACCATTCAAAATATTCTTCTTACATGTTCTATAGTAATACTTATATCTTATTTTTTAACTACTGAAACATTTATTTATATATAGCATCAGAAAAAAATTTAGCCCTAGACAGTTTTGCTCAGTGGTTAGAATGTTGGCCTGTGGACTAAAGGGTCCCAGGTTGGATTCCGGCCAAGGGCACGGACCTACCTCAGTTGCAGGCTTGCCTGCCCTGTCAGGGTGTTTGCGGGAGGCAACCAATTGATGTTTTTCTCTCCCTCTCTCCCTCTCTCTCTCCCCCCAACACTCTCTCTGAAAAGCAATGGAAAAAATACCCTTGGGTGAGGATTAAAAAAAAACAGAAAAAAATTTAAAAGTCACTAATCATACAATCCTTTCACCATTATATAACACATCATTTTTCAGGATTAATTATGTACTCATGACACTTACATTCTGTTTCATGCTTATAGGCTCCTAATGTTAGCTGACGAGATGTTGTTAATAACTGTTGCATCATTGCTGTTGGATCTTGAAATATCTAATGGAATGAAATGAAAAAAGGCCAAATAACTTCAAAGTTCTACAATTTAAAATGCTTTTAAAACTCTTGATATAAAATGTTCTTACCATTTCATCATAGAACTCTGAAACCACTGTCTTTTTCCCCAGCATTGCATTGGTGTCTGATTGAAACAACTTTAATAAATGATACAGGGTTACCTGTGAAATAAAAGAAGACATCATATCCGTGCAATGGTTAGCTTCATCACTGTGAAACACTGTCATTTCTGTAACTGAATTAGAAACTGGAATTAGTAAACATACGAAATTCAGGATCTTGTCTCAACTACAACTTACTGTGGCAAATCACTCAAACTCTCTTACTTTTATTTTCCTATTAGATATTACCATCCATCCACATCTGAGTTCATGTTCAAGAGAGTGACTATATATAAAAATAAAATAAGATACAGCTATGGAAATTAAACTGGGAAATCATTAACATATTCTTTTACGTTTAACACAAGTGAAATTAGATTGTGACAGTTTTTCTGTGAAGATTAAAGTTTACAAATTTGCTATGGGGAAAAAGATTTGATACTTTCAAAAGGAATGACTAATATTAAAATGCTCAATGAGGGCAAGATAATTTCTTTGGTGATCTATAAGTAACAAAGTCAGTGATAATTCACTTTAGCAAGAGCAACATGTCTTCTAAATACTTAAAAACAGGTATGGTAAGACATCAAAGGAAAAGTTTTGTAGCACAATGTGTGATTACTTGAGCAAAATAAAACCCAGCTGGCTAAATATGAGTTCATGTTGAAGTTGGAGAAACCAATTCAGAGGCCTGAAAGAATTTTCCAAAACTTAGCAAAAATCATTCTAATGAACATGCATCAATCATAAGCCATATTTCAAGCAGATAGTTTGACAAATTTATGGAACAGACAGAAAGCAGATAACACTACATGGATGGATATTCCGTAACAGGGAAATCCACAACCTGAAAAGGTAAGGAAGAGAATTGATCACAGGTGGGAGTCAGCTCTCCCAGTGGAGCTCCAGAGAGGATCCAAGCTCAAAGTTGGCAGGTGTAGAAATCAAGAATGCTGTGGGGGCCCAGCCTACCATAGCTCATTGGTTCAGCATTGGCTTATGATCCAGATCTTGGTTTGATTCCCCGTCAGAGCACATGCCCCGGCTGTGGGCTTGAACCCCAGTGGGGGCCGTGCAGGAGGCAGCCAGTCAGTGACTCTCTCATCATTGATGTTTCTATCTCTCTCCCTCTCCCTTCCTCTCTCTGAAATCAATGGGGATATATTAAAAAAAAAACAAAAAACAAAAAAGAATGCTGTGGGGGGATAGGCCTGTTACTCTTCCTTTCTTCTCCTTTCACTCACAGATAAAAGAGCTCACAGATATCCTCCTGTGGAACCTAGAATTTTTTCACTCAAACAATCAATATGAAGTAAAAATAAAGATATTTTCAGATAGCAATGGCTCTGAAAGTTTATTTCTTAGGCATCCTTTCTGAAGAAATTCCTCCAGCAAAATGAAAAAAAGAAACCCGAAAAGATGAAGAAAAAGGATCATTTGTCAACATTAGGAGTTGATAGGCACATCTAAAATGGAAAAATTCAGCCCGGCCGGGCGTGACTCAGCGGTTGAGCGTCGACTTGGGATCCAGGCGATCGGGGTTCGGTTCCCGGTCAGGGCACATGCCCCGGTTGCAGGCTCTATCAATGACTCTCTCATCATTGATGTTTCTGTCTCTCTCTCTCCCTCGCCTCTCCTCTCTCTGAAATCAATAAAGATATGTTTAAAAAATAAAATAAAATAAAATGGAAAAATTCAAATTTAGGGATTTAAATATATGAAATACACAGGAGTAATTTCTAGAGAGAAACAGAAAACAGGAACTACGGTTTTCCTGGAGAAAGGGCCATTTATGGGAGAAAAGATGATGTTATGAGTTGAACTGTGACCCCCCCAAAAGTTGAAGTCTTAAACCTCAGTACAGGTGAATGTGATCTTACCTGGTAATAGGGTCTTTGCAGATGTAATTGAATTAAGATGAAATCATGAGGGTGTGCCCAAATTCAATATGACTAGTGTCCTCATAAGAAGAGACACAAAAAAAGGCGATGTGACAATGAAAGCAAAGAATGAAGCTATGCTGCTGCAAGCTAAGGATGCCTGGGGCTACCAGGAACTACAAGAGGCAAGAAAGGATCCTCCCCTAGCTGCTCTGGAGACAGCATGGCCATCACCTTGATTTTGAACTTCTAGCTTCCAGAATTATGTGAATAACTTTCTGTTGTCTAGCCACTTGGTTTGTGGTACTTTGTTATGGCAGCTCTAGAAAACTAATACAAAAGACTTATACTTTTTATATTTAAAAACTTTTTAAAAATCATGTGCATGTTTGACTTTTATAATTTAACAAAAATATAAAACTACATCATAAAACTGTCCTCCCCTAAATTTATTATTTAGAATACCAGAGGCATTCATGCAGATATAGGCAATGAAAATTTTTAAGACAGATGTCTCCAATTTTGAGCTGTGTTTGTTGATTTTTAGAGCAATGAAAATGCCTATACTTGCTACAGAGATATTTCTAGGCATAAAAACCCAACTTTAGCCCAGCCAGTGTGGCTCATTTGGTTGAGCATCAGGAGGTCACAGTCAGGGCACATGCCCAGGTTGCAAGGCGAGATCCCTAGGGGAGGCGTGCAGGAGGCAGCCAATCAATTATTCCCTCTCATCATTGATGTTTCTATCTTTCCCTCTCCCTTCCTCTCTCTAAACTCAATGAAAATAGATGGGGAGGGGAGGACTTTCCAAGGGATTAGGCTTCTTAGTTTGAATTTCTTAAAAACGCCTCAAGTACTTCTGATGCAGTCAGTTAGAAACTAATTCTATGAACCCCTGGCCCAGGTGACACTCAACTCCTTTAAAGCCACATAGAGTTTTAAAAACGTAATCTAATAATTAAAGTGTAAATGTTTGGTGCTAGAGGAATGAGCTTAAATCTATCAAGATGAAAATTAATGGTGATGACTGTTAAAGCCCTGAAATGAACTAAACACCAGCCACAAAAATGTGAAATGAGAGAGCCATGACTAAGTTGTGACCCTATAGGTTTAAAAATAAAACAGGCTTATGCCAAGGTTGTAGGTCCCATCCCCAGTCAGGGCACATATAAGCAGCAGCCAATGAATGCATAAATAAGTGGAACAAAGAATCGATGTTTCTCTCTCTTTCTCCCCCTTCCTCTCTCAAAAATCAATCAACCAACCAATCAATAAACAAAAACAGGCTTAGTGGTTTATCAAAAGAAAGAGTAATGGAAAGAGTATGGGGACTAAATGCAAATACTTGGGTTCAAAATTAGCTCTGCCACAACTAACAGTATTTTTGAGACTTGATCTCTGAGCCTTAGAATTCTCATATCTAAAATGAGGATATCACCAACTTCACAAAGTTGCCGAGGGATCAAAGTGAAAAGTTTGAGGGACTTTTTAAATTATCAAGCAACAATCTAAAAAGAAGAGATCAAAAGATGAAAAAGTCAGTGATTATCAGTAAGGATTCATGAATAAAATAGAAAGTAAAGCTAGTAGTACTGATGGCAGCTTGAAAAAGCAAAAAGAATGTTTCTAGGGCTTTGAACTATAAAAAACCGGATACTCCCGTTTCAGACAGCACATGGACTCAACTTGTTTAATACTAATAACCAAACGAAACTAATGAATTTAAAATTTTTGCTGTAGTAGCCCTGGCCGGGTAGCTCAGCTGGTTGGAGCGTCGTCCAGATATACCAAAGTGACAGGTTTGATCCCTGATCGGCGCACATACAAGAAGCAACCAATAAAAGCATAAATAAGTGGAACGACAAATTAACATTTCTCTTTCTCTCTCCCTCTTCCCCTCTGTCACTCTAAAATAATCAATCAATAAATAAAATTTTTGCTGAAGTAATCATATGATTTTCATATTTTTCCAATAAATGTTCACACTGCATTCCTTCTTTCTATACTGAAAAATAAGTTTTGGAAGGCACATCACTTAAAAATAAAAAATCTTAGCTCATGGCAAGATACACCATGCCATAAGTGTACATAAAGTATATCTGAATAAAAATGTCAACATATAATACGCTCTTCATTAAATATTGTTACATTTTCACAATTACTAAAAAATCTAATGTTTTCAATTATCATTACTCACAGGTCTTTCATTAGGATCAATAAAAAATATTTTGATGATTATTTCAAATTCACCCCATCCTGTTTCAGTAATTTCATACGGAGGCTTAGTAACAACTGAAGAAGAGAAAAAATAAAACAATTACAATTGTAAATTACTGATGCAGTTTCCTAGCTCTTTTTAAATTTGTATATTATAAATGAAAAAACTTTACTGTACCTCTTAAAGGGTTGCCATAGCTTTCATGTAACTTAAATTGAATTTTCTTCACATACGCGGACATATCCTAAAATACAGAGGAATTAATTAATTCTGCCATCTACATATAAAAACTAGGAGAAACATACAGAGCATATGTATCTAATTTTATAAAATATACTTGCCCTCAAATATTATGGAATCCAATTTTCTAAAAAAGCCCATACCAACATGAATTATACCTAGATGGTTTGCTTTTTATTTTAAACTAGGAAGCCTGTGATGAATTCTTTCATAATTCATAATATATAAGAATATACATATCAATTCACTTGTTTTGCAAATCATTTTTCTGTATTTATCTACAGACAATACTCTAAATCAATTTCCCCCCATAAAAATAACAGTACACTTCAAATGTTTAACCATATAATCCAAAGCTAATTTAAGAACCGGAACTTCAAAGAACAAAATTATATCATATAAAGCTAAAGTCAACTAAACTAAGCAACTAAAACGGATATAAAACTCCTCCTTTCCTTAGTTTTATTTTGAAGCACAAAAACATATTCATTAGTTCTGACACATAAAAGAGATTCTCCTAGCGAACATGGCTTTTTCAAAAATATATCATTATAGAAAAATAAGAAAATGCAAAACAGAATAAGCCTCACTCAACAGTAATGTTTATTAATCTTCTTATTTGCTTTCAGGTATTTTTTGTGCTTATTATCTACATTTTTTTTTTTAAATTGGAATCATACTGTAATGATATATTAATAGCTGCTTTCATTACTTAACATGATATTGTGAACATCCCCCCTCCTTTTTATTGAATTTACTGGGGTGACACTGATTAACAAAATTATATAGGTTTCAGGTACACAATTCTACAACACATCATCTGTATGAACATTTTTTCTGAGGCAAATTTTTATAAGTATCTTGAAAGACTCTTTTGGAAATACATTCATTTTTTTCCTACAAACATGAGTGACAACTAATATTGGGTACCAGATGTCAAAATGATAGAGTCCTGCCTTTAGGATCTCTCTGTGGAGTAGGGGGCAGACAAGAAAATCAGCATTTCAGTGTAATCTTTGTTACTGAGGGCATGAGATACAAGGCTGTAGGAGGGGCACCTAACATAACAGTCTTTGGAGATCAAGAAAGTAATTCTAGTCCTAGCTGGTTTGGCTCAGAGGTTAGAGTGGCCACAGACTGAAGGGTACTGGGTTCAAATCCGACCAAGGGCACATACCTTGGCTGTAGGCTCGATCCCTGGCCCTGGTCGGGATGTGTGCAGGAGGCAACCAATCAATGTGTCTCTCTCACATCGATGTTTCTCTCTGTCTCTCTCTCTCCCTTACATTCTTTCTGAAAAGCAATGGGAAAAATATCCTCAGGTGAGGATTAAAAAATAAAAATAAAATAAACTTAAAAAGAAAAAAGTAGTTATAAGAAAATACACTTGAACTAAGACTAAGGAAACAGACTAGAGTAGGTGGAAGGAATGAATGAAGGGGTTTACGAGTGCTCCTTTAGGAAACTGAAAGTAATTTAGTATTGGTAGAATGTAGGGTATAAGGAAATGATGAAGCAAACACAGACAAGGAATAATGCTGCAGAGACAGGATAAGGAAAGGCCATAGCATGACTTCTAAAATAAAATAGTTTTACCTTTATGAGGGCAATAGGTAGTCATTGAATGTTTGCTTTTTAAAATAACCGCTTTATTGAGATAGTCACATACCACATAATTCACCCATTTAAAATGTACCATTCAGTGGTTTTTAGTGTATTCACAGAGTTGTACAATCATCAACATAATCAATTTTAGAACATTTTAATCATACAAGAAAGAAACCCCATACCCTTTGCACTCATTCCTTAATCTTTCTTCCTCGCACCCAATGGCAACCTCTAATCTATTTTCAGTAGCTGGATTTGCCTATTCTGGACATTTTATAAAAACAGTATTATAGAATATGTGGTTTTTGTGTCTGGTCTCTTTCTCTGACCATAATGTTTTACTGCCTGGTAATATTCTATTGCATGGATATGCCACATTTTATTTACTCAAGACATCTGAGTTGTTTCCATTCTTTGGATACTGTGAATAATGCTGCTATGAACATTCATATACAAGTTTGTGTGTGGACTTTGAAGGGTTTAAATAGAGGAACAGTTTATTCATTCAATAAAGATCTGTTGAATACCTACTATGTACTGGCTGCATTCAAGGCATTAGAAATTCAGCAGCAAAACAAAATTACCAGCAGCCAGATTATATAGCAGTTTTGTCTTTCATCTTCTCTGATGGTTTTATTACCAAATTATCACTTAAAAATTAACTACTATTCCTGAAACACCTGATTAAATACTAAGCTAACTTAAGATGTGGTGATCGGAAGAAGTGCTGTGGTTATAGAATAGTTCTTGTTACTGTAACTTAATTAGAAAAGTTTTTGTAAATTTGATTTCTACTGAACAATATGAAGATGACAGCTCTCACTTTATTCTTTTGATTTTTCGGGGGTAATATTTCTAAAAAGGACCAATTTTATAATCAGAAAGTCACCATAAAATAACATTACAATTTACCTTCAAGCAAAACAAACTGTAGTTTCAAAACAGTTATAGGAAAAAACTGTGCCTACCTCATTTCTATATGGTTTTACATATACTGTCCACTGATGGGTATGCCCATCTTCTTCTCTTTTCTTTCCAAAATATCGAGCAACGTTGCCATAAACTATTGGTTTAACGATAGTAACCCCCTAAAAGAAAAATAATTTAAACACCAATTAATAATGTATCATTCCTCAAATAAACAGAACAAAAGTTCAAATGTTTATTTTTTAAAAAGGCAGGCATACAAGAGACTCACTTAAGATCAAAAGATATACAGACTGAAAGTAAAGGGATGAAAAAAGATACTTCATGAAAATGGAAACAAACAAACAAAAAAGGCCCAGGTAGCAATACTTATACCAGACAAAATAAACTTTAAAAGCTATAAGGAGACAAACTGGAAAAGAGATATGTATCCATATGTTCAATGTAGCATTATTTAAGATAGTCAAGATAAAGAAGCAACCTAAGTGTCCATCAACAGATGACTGGATAAAGAAGTGGTAAATATATACAATAGAATATTACTCAGCCATAAAAAAGAATGAAATCTTACCATTTCCAACAGCATGGACGGACCTTAGAGGGCATTATGCTAAATGAAATCAGTCAGACAGAGACAGACAAATACCATATAATTTCAACTATATGTGTAATCTAAAGAACAAAATAAACAAAACAGAAACAAACTCATAGATACAGAGAATATTTTGATGGTTGCCAGATTGGATAGGGATGGGGAGAGGTGCTGAAAAAGGTGAAGAAATTAAGTTCAAACTGGTAGCTACAAAACCGTCATAGGGATATAAAGTACTGCATAGGGAATATAGTCAACAATACTGTACTATGTATGGTGTGAGATGGGTACTAGATATACCAAGGTGATCACTTTGTAAATCTAATTGCTATGTTGAAACTAATATATGTCAACAGTAATTGAAAATTAAAATAAAAAAAACTAGAGTTTGTTTATAACATGATTTTTCTCAATAAATCAATTTTAGACAATTATCCTCATTTCACAGTAATACAAATAACTAAACACAAGATTAATTACAATGTTCCCACTTTGAAAATGTCTATTTAAAATATGTAAAGTACACTGAGAATTTTTCTGAAAAGAAACACAAAAGGCTCTTTATTCACAAACTTTAAAGCGAGTCTCTGGAATAAAGATCACCAACTTTGACTATAATCATCTGATGGTAATGTACTTATTTATCAGCTTATGGCAGTGTTTTCCAAAGCACAGTACAAATATTAAAGGCACCTTGGCAGAGGATTTTAGGTAGAATAAGGGCAAAGATTTTTCATTTTATTATTTATGGGTTTACTTCAATCAGTATTAGAAAAACCATAACTATAACTAGCAATTCAAACCTATAATTTCAAAAATATTAATGCTTAGGAAAGAGCTTTTTTTAAAAAATATATCTTTGCTTTCAGAGAGAGGAAGGGAGAGGGAGAGAGAGAAACATCAATGATGAGAGAATCAATGATTGGCTGCCTCCTGCACACCCCCTACTGGGGATGAGCCCACAACCTGGGCACGTGCCCTGATCAGAAATTGAACCAGGATCTCCTGGATCATAGGCGATGCTCAATCACTGAGCAACACTGGCCAGGCTGGAACAGGCTTTTAAAAATTAATCTAAATAAAAATATTAAATATTACAGCTGGATCTAGATAACGATTAAGTACCACTTGGACGACTGATGCTAGTTTAACACTGGCAATGGCCATGCTTGCTACATTTGTGCTCAGCTCTGAGATGTACGGACATGTTTCTTATCACATCTGGTAAGTGTAAAGGCAGTGAGTGTTGACAGATTATGATGGAGAAGAGAGAGAAAAAATTTCAAGTGAAGACAAAATGCTGAATGTTACACATGAATTTCAGACCAATTGTTCAATAATAGTAAGAATGTATCTGAAGGTCAAAGAGGAAGCTCTACCACATGTGATAAGTGCTGTGCCAATGTAACCAATAATTAATAAGAAATGAGGAAAAGCAGTGAACAAATGGAAAACCTTTTAATTGTGGCTGAATAATTAACAGATAAATCCAATGCCTATTAGTTTAAAGCCAGTCCAGAAGAAGAAAAACTGTATGAGAACTTAAATAATCACAGTAAGTGCTACTGACACTTTTGTGGCAACCACAGATGGGGTCTCAGGTTGGAGACCTGAATGAATGAGTACAAGCACTGACTTGGTGAGTGGATAACAGATCCCGTGGCTGTTACGGTGTTGGTAAGGAACTTGCAGAGCTCCTCAATGATAAAAAGGGGTCTCATCTGTCAACAGACTTTCTACCTTGATAAAATTTATCTAAATTGGAAAAAGATGCCTATAAGACCTCATAACAATCAGCAAGGAGAAGAAATAAGTCCCTAAGTTTAAAGCAGCAATTTTCAACTGGCATGCTGCAAGAATTTTTAAAACACGCAATACCTGACTAGTCAGGGGCACTGAGCTCTTTTCTCTTAGAGATTGTCAAATAAAAAAATGACAACAGCCAACACAACAAAAGTCGTCTGGTGCAAATGAATCAAAATTATTACCTATTTTTTTGTCAGATCGGCAAAAAATATATTTTTGGTGTGCAGCAGAATTTTAGTAATTAGTTTATGTGTGCCATGAGATGAAAAAGGTTGACAATCACTGGTTTAAAGCTCTACATGACTAACTCACACCAGTTTTCATTGGAAAGCATTTGAGGACTATGTTCTCCTCAAGTCACTTGGGACTTAAACTTACAAACTTTTAGAACCTAACATGATTACAAGTATAGAAAGTTCTTCTCCAAAATCTGTTTTAACGCTTTGTTTGGTAGTCCTTTCCTATCAGTCCAAAACCTTGCCCAAAAAGTCTCGGAAAATGTGTATGTTTGTGAATTTACCGGGCATCTCTTTCCCCTTACATTAAATTTCAGCAGCTTTTGAAATTTTCGAAGAACCCCCACTTTATGTGATATTAAACACTGTGTATGATAGTTATAAACACCATATTATAGTTAAAATTATGTGAAAACAATATGACAGATAAGGGCTCTAAAAACCTATGCTAACTAGATTGATGCAAAAGTGGGTGATTTCTTTTTAAAGAAAAATGTCCTTTCTAGGATAAATAAAAATCATAAGGGGTAGAAATAAGTGTTATGTTGGTCCTGCCTTAAAAATTAATGTGCCAGGGGATTTAAGAAAGTGGGAGGGGAATGTATCACAGTGTCCAACTTTGTTAGGCTCTATACCTAAAAACAAAAGGAGCTAATATATATGTTCCCTATTGCCAGGCAATGTTCTTTGCATTAATGTCCTGATTAATATCTTGGCTGTAGCTTTGGGGCATTGGAAACACCATGAACTTGGGCAAGTTTTCTGACCTTTCTACCTCCCGGTTCTTTGGTTATCACCCTTGTCAATCCGCTGTAAGGTGGCTGTAAGGGCTGAATCAGAATCGGGTGAAGCTTTTGGCCACTATGCTTGGCAGGCGGGAAGCGTTTATCAAATACTTGCTTCTGCTACTCTCCTCACAAGGAGGTGGGTGGCACCCCCTGCTTAGCGGCGACCCGAGAAGGCGGCAGCGCCAAGCCAGGGCTTCCCAGCCCTCGGAGGGGCTTGTCTCCTGGGCAACAATGTCCGGCTTTCCCCAAGCCACCACTGTGTTTGCTTTTCGGCAGGGATGGAAGGGAGGTGGTGACGCCGGGAAGCTGGGGCCCCATGAAACACAGGTTTTCCCCCAGGAGCTTCAACTCGCTCTCCGCCTGGAAACCACAGTTCAAATCCGCGGCGAGAAGGCGCGAGAGGGAAACGCGCGGGCCCTGCCCACGCCGCGCAGGGAGGAGCCGGGGCGGCGGAGCCACTCCCGGAGGGAGGCGGGGGCCGGGCACTGACCTTCACTCTCCCGCCGGAGTCAGGCCCAAATTCGGCCATTCTCTTGAACATATTGTCCTACGGTAGAAGATGCCGCCGCCAGGGAAAGAGACCGAGGCCGGCGGGGTCGCCGCTGCCCGCAGAGGCCCCGCTCGCTCCTCCTGCGCGGGCCCAGGCGGAGGGTTTCTGGCCCAGGGAGGGCGAGTCACTGGCGCTCGCGGAGGTGAGGAACCGCCAACCACCCGCCGGGGGTTGTGGACCAGAAGCCCATTCAGCCCGCGCCGGCGGAGAGCGGAACCGGAGGNAACGGGCGCACGCGCGCCGCGCACGCGCAGGCCGCTCCGCCGCGGTGGGGCGGGCCTTTTGTCTCCGGGGCCCTTCGGCGCGCGGGAGCCTCCGGTTCGCCTGTCACCCGCCCGGACGCCTCAGCGTCGTGGTGACTGGGAGATGGCTTGTGGAGGCAGAACCTTGCCATCGCCGAAGCGCTCTAATTCTGAAATCAAGTTCATGAAATCTCGCCCACGCACAGCTTTTCGCCGTCTTCATTCAGACCTCAGTGCTTGAACCGCTCGTTTCTCGCCTTCATCCTTTCTACTCGGTTTGCCATCTAAGGTGCGTAACTGGACACAAACGTTGCCCTTCTGGGGAACCAACTACTGTGCAGATTAGTGCGGTGCTCAATTAGTGGTCTTCAATTTAAGTGAAGGTCTAGGGGCTGGCAAGTAGTGCTCTCTCCTTTTTTTTTTCTTTTTTCTATATGAAACTAGAAGCTACTCTAACGTGTCCCTAGTTTCCTCAAACCTCCGGCTCTGACACCAGCCCTCTCATTATCATCACAGGATTTTGCACCTTACTTCACGGAAAAAAAGAGACCTCCACGCCGCCAGACTTGATTTGCCCGGTATTGCCTCCCTTTCTTCTGTCCAAGAGGGAGTCTTCCTTTTTTATTTATTTATTTATTTATTTATTTATTTATTTATTTATTTATTTATTTATT